GAGCCCCCCCCCCCCATTTTTGTTTCAACCTGCAGCGCGTCTCCCTCTCCTCTCCTTTGGGCTGGCTTCACTGTCCCCCGATGAGAAAACAGGGCTGGTTTTCACCCTCTTTCATGCAGCAGCCACACCATGAATTTCTTGGGGCGGGGGGTGGTGGTATTTTGAGAGTGGAATGAGGAGGAGCCGCCGTGTCTGCTGCCCCAGACCCTGCCCCAGCTGGGGCTTGAACCAGGCACCCCGGGCTCCCTTCCAAGCAGTGGTGGGATTCAAAAACTTTTACTACTGGTTCTATGGGTATGGCTTGGTGGGCGTGGTCATGTGACTGGTTGGGAGCTTTTTTTGGAACTTCCTAGCCTCAGAGGAGCCTTTGGGGGGTCATTTTTGCTCCCTTAAAGCTCCTCCGGGGCTGAGCTCCTCCCTCCATTTTTGGCCTCCCTGGGCCTCAGCAAGGGGAATCCCGGCACAGCTGATCTTATCTACGGCGGTTGGTGGGAGGGGGGGGGGGGGAAAGAAACACCTTAGGCGAATGTCGGGCAGGTGGGGTAGGCAAGCATCGGGTGGGAGGGCGACCGGGTCGGGAGCATGGCCAGCCAGAACTTACTACTGGTTCAGCGACCCACCCCAAATTCTTGCTACCGGTTCGCCTGATCCGGTGCGAACCGGCTGAATACCACCACTGCTTCCAAGCCCAGGTGCAGCTTCTATTTGTGGCTGGGGGTGGAAAGAGGCAGGTGGGACCCCACAGAGACGGCTCTGCTTAGGGATGTCCCAGGAATGGGCTGCCCCTCGGCCAGGTGTCCCTGGTTCCCTTTTAAGCCCCACCCAATTTTACTGATCCAGACTCAGGAGAGGCACAAAGGCTCAGATTCTGGGCCAACCGGGGGTTTCCTTTGGAGATGCCCAGAAGGGAGAGTAAGGCAGCTCACTCGGCCCAAGAAAAGCATTGGATGAAAGTGAGGTGCAGGGAGTCCTCGACTTACGACCTTAATTGAGCCCAAGATTTCTGCTGCCACTTTAGCCGCTTGTTCCTCCCCTCCAGGAGTGTCTGATGCTCAGAAATATCCCCGGATAACGTTGCAGGATCCAATCTGAGTCGGTCACCGTGGCCAAAGGTTTATCATTCCCCCAGGCTTTTGGCCCCTGCTGGAGCCGGTCCCCAGGGAGGCTCCCTCTCTCTCTCTCCAGAATATGAGCCCTGAGCTGTTCTACCTGTTTCATTTATGGGCTCCTGTGTCGAGCCCAAAATTGATATCTATGCAGCAGAGGTAGGATTCAGCAGGTTCTGACAGTTCTGGATAACTGGTAGTGGAAACTTTGAGTAGTTGGGAGAACCGGCCAATCCCACCTCCGACTGGCCCCGCCAACCCCACCTCTTCTCCGCCTCCCATTGAGTCCCAGCTGATCGGCTGGGTCTCCTTTGGTTGCCCTGCACAGGAGGGAGCTGGAAAGCAGGTTAGTGGGGTGGGGAGGGAAGGGGGATTTTGCAGGATCCTTCCCCTGCCACGCCCACCAAGCCCACAGAACTGGTGGTAAAAAATTTGAATTCCACCACTGATATGCAGCCATTTTATTTAGCTCTGTATACTCTATATAGTTGTGTATAGCTTTTAATTGTTAATTAGGGATTTTCATGACTGTTGATTGTTGTTTCCTTGTGTTGCTGCGCCCTCGACTCCCAAATACCGGATAGTCTGGTGGTCCATCAGCACTCCTGACTGACAAGGGGCCCCTTTTCCAGGTTTCAACCATTTTCTTTGCTGATGGTTGCTCAGCTGCAATCTTAGCAGCTGCAGAATTGAATGCATGTCCTTGTTCACTGCAATGGGAGGCAACCAATGAGTATAAATATGATGAAATGCGTAGAACAGCCCACTGCACATATTCTGGAGAGACCAAATTTCCCTGATGATGGAGTCCAGCATGAGCCCGAAAGCTTGGAAGAGTAAAGCTTTGTGACTGACTCAGATTGGATCCCGCATCTGATGTTCAAGCGATGGTCCGTCACCGATAATCGCAGCATGTCATCTTGCCTTGCCTCCTGGGCAGGAGCAAAGCACCAGCAACACAGACACAATGCTCATTGTTAATTTTCATGTACCTGCAGGTGCTGGAGGGGGGGAAAGACACCCATGGCCCCCCAAGAAACTGGGGTGCCCCCCTCCCACCTTCCTCCTGGTCGGAATCCGAGGACTGGAGGCAAGCAGCGCCTGGATCTCCCTCCCTTTCTGTTTCCTCTGTGCTGCTGCCATCTTGGGAAACAGTGCTGTTCTCCTTGCAATTGTGAAGAACCACAACTTACACGACCCCATGTACCTCTTCCTCTCATGCTGGCCGTGAGCGAGCTGGGGGTGTCCCTCTCCACCCTCCCCACCGTGCTGGGCGCCTTGGTCTTCGGTGCCCGGGAGGTTGGCCTTGGCGCTTGCCTCAGCCGGCTGTTCTTCATCCACTGCTTCTCCGTCATGGACTTGGGGGTGCTCTGGGCCCTTGACCGCTTTGTCATCTACAAGCCGCTGCAGTAGGCCTCCCTCCTGACCGCTGACCGGATCGCCCGGACAGGCTTGGGCGCTGCAGTGAAAAGCGTCGTCTTACTCATTCCACTGCCTCTTCTCAGGGGGAAGCTGCCCTTCTGCGAGGCCAATGCGCTGCCTCTCCCCTGCCGCCTGCACCCCAACCTGATCCGGCTCCCGTGTGCGGACAACGGCCTTTCTGGTCTCTTTGTCTTGCTCTGCGCTTTTGACCATCTTGTCCTCTGCGATGATTCTTCAGACCGTCCTGAGCATCAGCTCAAGAGAAGGTCGCCTGAAGGCCCTCAGCACCTGCGCCTCCCACATCTCTGCAGGGGTGCTTTACTGCACCCCAATGATTGGCCTCTGCAGGGCGTATAGATTTGGCTGGCATGTGTCCCCTCTGGTGCGCTCCCTCCTGGACCACCTCTACCTCCTGCTTCCTCTGCCGCTGAACCCCATCATCCACGGCATCCGAACAAAAGAAGCACCCGAGGCTTTGGGCCAACTCTTTTCACCAAAGAGGGAGGGAGCAGCAGTCAGGAGACCCGGTGGGGTTGGCTGCTGTGTTGCAGCCTCTCTCCCTCCTCGATTGCCAGAACGGAAGGTGAGCTTGAAGATTGGCCCCCAGTGGTCCAGAAGGGGCAATGAACCGAGCTGGCCTCCTGAACTCTGGAACTCAGAGAGGAAGAGGATCAAAGACAATTCTGCAGAATGTAAATTATGTGGACCCTTCTCACAGGACAGGCAGGGTCAGGAGGAGGCAATGCAGCCAGGAGCTGAAGAGGTGGGGGCTTATGGGCAGGGTGGGAGAGTGGGAGGAGAATTGGAAATAGGTAGACAACAAAGAGTTGGAGACGGGAGAAAGGAGGATGTGAAAGAAATCAGGACATACAAGAGCTCATGTGCCAATCTTCCTGGGTTGGTTGCAATAAGCAATATCTTTTGCAAAAGCAAGAGCTGTGATCCTATGTTAGTGAGAGGTGTAAAAGACCAGGTCCACGCGTGGAGGTCCAATTACACTGATTTATTGCTGCAAGGCCTCTGCACAGGGCTCTTCTCCACTCAGGGCAGAGGCCCGTTTGGAGTTAGAGAAGGGCCAACGAAACTCAAGGGAGGCTGGACTTAGTTCACTTGTAGCTACGTAGGGATTCTGGGCTGATGCCTTTTTCAATTCTGCCCCAGGTTCTGCCAGCCCTTCTCCTATAATTATCTGTTTGTAAAACATGCGGGGGGGGGGGGGGGAATCAGAATAACAGAGTTGGAAGGGACCTTGGAGGTCTTCTAGTCCACCCCCTGCTCAAGCAGGAGACCCTATGCCATTTCAGACACATCACTGTCTAGTCTCTTCTTAAAAGTCTCCAGTGTTGGAGTACCCACAACTTCTGAAGGCCAGCGGTTCCGTCGGTTGTTTTCAATTCTAAGTTGGATCTCCTCCTGAATAGTTTCCATCCATTGCTTCAGGTGTTCTGGAGAATAGGTTGACCCCCCTCCCCTCTCTGATAGGCCCTCAAACATGGGGAGACGGCTATCCTGTCACCCTTAGTCCTTCTTCTCACTAGATGAGATCAACCCAATTCCTGCAACTATTCTTCATATGTTTTAGATTCCAGCCCCCTAATCATCTTCGTTGCTCTTCTCTGCACTTTTCCCAGACTTTCAACATCTTTTTTATAATCAGGTGACCAAAATTGGGTGCGGTTTCCCAAGTGTGGTCTTACTAAGGATTTATAAAGCGGTACTAATATTTCACGTTATTTTGATTCTATGCGTCTGTTTATACAACCAAGGATTATATTAGGGGTTTTTTTTTTTGCCTATTGTCGCAAACCGCTAGCTCATGTTTAAGTCATCGTCCACTAAGACTCCAAGGTCCCACTCACAGTTACTGTTTTTGCCTAATCTGTACTTGTACCTTGGTTTTTTTCTGCCTAAGTGTAAAACCTTGCTTTTCTCCACATTAAATTTCATTTTATTGGATAGGGCCCATTGTTCAAGTCTGTCAAGAACTTTTTGGATCCTGAGTTTGTCTTCTAGGATGTTGACTATTCCTGCCTGCTTAGTGTCATCTGAAAATTTGATGAAGTCCCCTTCTATTCCCTCATCTAAGTCATTTATGAAGAGATCGAAGAGTCCTGGTCCTAACATGGAACCTGGTGGCACCCCATTGCTTACTTCCCTCTATGTAGGTGTAGTACCATTAAGGACTACTCGTTGAGTACTGTTTGTCAGCTCGTTACAAATTCATCTGGTGGTGATGCTGACTATCCCACATTTTTTTTAACTTACCAAGAAGTAAGTTGTGGTCTACTTTGTCGAATGCCTTACTGAAATCCAAGGAGACCATGTCCACTGCATTTCGCTGGTCCACAAAGAGCGTTCTTTATTGTCCTCCGTCTTGACAAGAGACCGGCAATGACTTGGTTGGCTGATAGGCTTCTTCTGTCATTACCCAAGACCCCCGAGCTGAGTAGGAATCTCAGAGAGGGAGTGGAACTAAGGTAGACTGGAGCCAGGTGGGGTCTCCGTGGAGGTTTCCAGGTTGTCTTCGGTCTCCAGCAGCTCCTGAGGACTCCGTCCTTCTCTTGGGCTGGCCTTAGGCTGGCCAGGAAGCGCCTGCAGATCCTGAGGTTGAACTCCTGGAGTCTGTGAGGCTGGAGACTCCGTTGCTGGGGCTTCTCCATCCTGCCAGAAAGGGGTGGGACTCTCTGGGCAGGCATTTGGCGCTTCAGCTAAGTCCTCAGTCTGGCTGCTTTCTTCAGTCTGGCTGCTTTCCAAACTAAAATCCACTTGGGTCCCCTTTGAGACCTTCTCTGGATGGAGGTTCCCCTCTTCCACAGCACCTCTCTGGGGGTTGGCCTTGCCCATCGCCTGAGGCCTGGTCTGCAGCTGCCGAGCAGCCCAGGGGTCCGGCAGAGGCGTTCGGTTCTCTATCCTGGGGGGAAGAATGGCCTGATTCGAAGCTGGACTCCCACCCGGTGTAGCAAAAGGATTTTGGTGCTGTTGTTCCATCACGCTCCAGATGGGCTCCTCCATCTCCTTATACACGCGTTGCAAGATGTTATAGCCTCCCGGGAAACTTTCCATGTTGCTCAGGATCCGATCACAATGCCTGTCCATTTCCTGCTTGACTTCCGGCTTTTGGATGTACCGGATTATTTCTCCCACGACCTTCGGATTGCTCAGCAGGTGGCCAATCCTGGCATTTTCTTTAGCAAGTTGGATTAAGGAAGGGCTGGTTTCGATAGTGTGCCTCAGCATCCTTTCCTCAAGTTCATCCTGGACCTCTGGACCAGAGAGGACTTGGCGGATGTCCACAAACAACTGGCGGAAGGACTGCAGATCATCCAGCATGTCCGCTTCAAGGCTCATGTCCGGTGTAGCGATGGTGCCCACCAGTTGTGGAAGCTTCTTATAGATGGCCATTATCTTAGTTAAGCCACTGAGGCTCAACAGCCGGCCAAACTGCGGCGTCTCTTGAGCAAATGTTTTCAGCTCTGGGTTCTCTGACAAGAACTGGGCCATCTCCTTTGTGTTGGCGAGGATGTTCTGGATGACAGGTTCCTCCAGAGCCTCGGCCACCACCTTGTCACTAAACTCCTCCTCTTTCTCGGCTCTTGACTGCATTGTTCTCAGGCTGACCAGGCTGGAGACTCCCAGGATGAAGGCGACAGTGAGAGGATTGGTCTCCTTGGAGAGCAAGCCCTGGACGGTGGAGCTCTGCACCACCTGGAACATGAGCTCTGGGTGATGCTGGAAGTGCTGAGGCATCTCACTGAAGATGTCTAGCAGGGTCAGCAGGTCTCTCCGGATGCGCCTCAGCAACGGCCGCAAGGTAGCCCCTCCAGCAGACTCGGAGGCACCAGCAGCCGTGCCAGGAGTGCTACTGTAGCCTGGTGCCACTGAGCGTGTTGGCAAGGCGTGGTTGGGTCTGAGCTCCAGCCTTTTCACCACCACATGAACCATGTCTCCACTTTGGATGCCGTGCTGGAGAAGACTTTCTTGGTCTTTCAATATTTTCCCCGCAAATATCAGAAGCACCTGCTCCTTGCCGAGCAAGAAATGGCGGGCGGCCTCGTTCTTGAGCTCCGCAACGGTGCTCTTCTCGTTGACCTGGCAGTCCTGTGCTTTCCCTGGGCCTTTCAAAGTCACCCTTATGAGTTTGGGTTCGCGGGTGCTCTCCACAGGGCTGGCACTGGGGTCATGGCTCATGGCTGGGGTGCCGCCACCGGTCCATTCCTAGCCGAGGGGCAGGCAAGGCCAGGGGGTCCTGGGGAGGCTCCCGGGTGGTTTGCTCTGCCTTCCGAGAGCCGAGAGCCCCTTCAGCAGGCATGCCTTCCCCTGGCCTCGCTCCCAACCTGGTCGCCAGCTCTTTTCTTCCCCCCTGCTCCCCCAAATCCACTGTGGCATCATGGCCATGACATCACAGTCCTGAAGTGACAGCAGTGCCCGGGGGCCTCCCAGCTGGCATTGCCTCACCCACAAAGCCCCCTCAGCCCCCAGGGCATTGAAGGACGGCAACGTCAGCAGCGTCCGAGGCTCGTTTGGGGAAGTGACGGAGGAGAGGACCCCGGGGGGTAACGAAGGAAGCGCCCCCTAGTTTGGGCACTTCCCCCATGGAGGAATCCTGTGTGCCGGCAAAGGATGTTGCTGAGGTCCTCCTTGTTGTGTTCTGCTTGGTTGCAGGATCTGTTTGCTTCTGTCCTGGACCTGCCCAGTTCTCACGGCAGAGCTCTTGACCTAAGCCAGGCGTTGAAGACTTGTGGACTTCAACTCCCAGAATTCCCCAGCCAGCCAGCCTGTCCACAAGCCTTAAAGTTGCCCAGTTTGGAGACTCCCGATTTTAGGTTGTGATGAGGGTTTTTCTCAGCCCACTTGTTGCAATGCTGGCACTGATCGGACAACCATGGAGGGTCTCCTGCTTGAGCAGGGGGTTGGGCTAGAAGACCTCCAAGGGCCCTTCCAACTCTCTTGCTCTGATTAGGGTGGAGTGACGGGTCCTGAGGCTGGCTTCTGCACCTAGTGGTGGACTAGAACTAGTTCTCCCCACTCCTGGTTGGTTAAAACCAGCAGATAAGGAAGGAGGTGAAGATGGAAGGAAAGGCTTAGGACCACGAAGTCCCGAAGGCAAAGTGGTGGCCATGCACACAACGCTTGTGGGTCAAAATCGAGCCAGGAGGGTCTCTTCAGACAGAACAAGGCAGTGAGGATCACGGCTCACTCTTGACCGGTGAGAATCCAACACCCGCCCCCTCCCCAAAATGAAGAGTCAACTTCGTTTTAGCCTCCGTCTTTACATCCAGAGGAAACAGGGATTTCTGGAGCCCAGGCTGGAAACAAACCAGGCAGCGGAGGGTGCAGATCTGTCTGCAAGGATGTGGCCAAAGATCTCCTGGCTAATTGTAAGGCCTTCAAGTCCCCAGAACCCGGGACGGAAGAAAAACCTCCCACACTACCCATGGTCCTAGCAGGAGAGCCTCGGGTCCTCTCTCAATTGTCTCTGGGGAGCCTTGGGGAGATGCCAGAGGCCCGGAGAAGAGCTACCCTGGTCCCCCTTCTGAAGAAGCAGGGGGTTGGACTAGAAGACCTCCAAGGTCCCTTCCAACTCTGTTATTTGGTTGTTCTGAAATTAAAAAGAGGGTTGTGGCAACTTGTGAGCCTTCTGTCGTGACGCAGCTCAGGACTCAAGTTCCGATTTGTTTATTTATATAATACAATATACAAGATAAAATAGACTATCAAATTAAGATAATGAAACCCTCATAATATAGCACCCTAGAGCCTCAATGGGGTGGATGTTATGGTCCACTGTGGCCTAAGGAAGCTAACCATCTCACTGCTTCTGGGGTGGCTGCTGTGCGATCATCCCAGGTGCCTGGTTTCCTTGCAGACGTTTCATGATCCAAACTAGGGAACAGCATCAGTGCTAGTGAGGATAGCATCAGTACTGATGATGTTCCCTAGTTGGGTCATGAAACGTCTGCAAGGAAACCACCAAGCTCAGAGAGCACCTAGGACCCCGGAGTTCAACCCTGAGCTACAAATATTTACTGCTATGTTCACAGTTCTTTTCCCATACTCAACTCTCACTTCCGTGTGATGAAGGGAGTAGGAACAAGCTCTGGTGCCTGGTTTTTATTTACCATTGGCTTTCTGGCAATATTTTCCCATCTTAAAGTTTTATTTATTTGTTTGTTTGTCTGTTTATTTGTTTGTTCAATTTCTATATCTGCCCAGTCAATGATTCCAGGTAGCTTACAATTCAAATATACATACATATACATATATGCTTAATCTGGATGTTTTTAGTGTTTTTATTGTTTTAAAATGTATTCAGTATTTTGTGTGTGTGTATGTGTGTGTGTGTATGTACACACACACACACACACACACACACACACAAATACTAAATACAGATTAAGGAAACATAGGAGCAAGATACCAGTTAGCAGTGCAGCCAAAATTTCCACCATCCATTTCTTATTTTACCAACCATTTTAGCAAGGTGTGCACACATTCCTCTATTTCTTTCGGTTCTTCAGTCTTTCAATATATCTTGCGATTGTTCGCCCCATTTTCCTTATCAAATGGACTATTTTGGCTTTTGATACGTGGCTATTCAGATCAGGCCAAGGCTGGCGTGGTCTTGCACTCTTCCCAAAGAGGACACAACCAAGGAAGGATTGGGCTTCCAGCCTGAGCAATCGATCAAAGAAAGCCACATCCTTCCTCCAGAGCAGCTGCTCAGCGAGGAACGCCAATCTTTGCGGGGGAGGGGGGCATTTGGAAGTTGGGGAGCATTTAACGGCTGCATTTCACATCATAGCAATAGCCCTTAGACTTCTATGCCGCTTCACAGTGCTTTCCAGCCCTCTCTGAGCGGTTTACAGAGTCAGCCTGTTGCCCCCAACAACCTGGGTCCTCTTTTAACTGCCTTGGAAAGCGGAGTCAACCTCGAGCCAGTCAGGATCGAACTCCTGGCAGTGGGCAGAGCTTGCCTGCAATGCTGCAAACTAACCACTGGGCCACCATGGCTCCTGGTGCCGTGGAAGTCAAGCAGGCACAAAATATGCGCTTCCTTGCAAATCAACCGAAAAGATCAAAGGACATTGGTTTGTCCGAGACCTTAAGAGGGGGATCCATTCTTTGGAGCCTACAGTTTTCTACTCCTCCCCCCAGAAGGGGAACTGATGATGCTCCAAGAGAAATGCTTTGGGCAAGAAACTGATAAAAAGTTGGAGCTGAGCCCACAGATCAAAATGTTGTTTGGAGTTGGGGCTGTTTACTGGCAGGAAGCCCTTCGTGAAGCCCATGTGGAGTTCGCAGCAGGCAATTAGTCATCGCGCCCAGAGAGGGAAATATCTGCTGCTACTTAGGATCGAACTCACAGCACCCTGATTGCGAGGCGAGGGCTCCACCTCTAAGCCACCGCACAGGTCGTCAGCACAAAGACACCGACAAGATTCTGGTTGAACCTCAAGCAAAATATAAACCACAGTCGTCAGGATGTCACGAGAGGGAGACAGACAGAGAGAGAGAGAGAGAGAGAGAGAGATTATTGTCCACATTGTTTGTCTCCATGGCTGGAGATGCGACGGAACAAGGCCAGGGATTGCAGCTACCTGGCCGCCCTGGGCGGAAAAGAACCATGGCGGCTGGAGGCCATCCCTTGGCTTTGCAGCAAGCAGATTCCCACCTTAAAATGCTGCTTTTCAAACATTCAACACCTGGAGGGGCAAGGGGGTGGGGGTGGCAGTGGCCTCTGGTGGCCCAGGGATCCACTTTGGGAGCCCTGGGTTTCAGCCGGAGGAAAGGAGCACCCAAGGCACAGTTTATATCCACCATGCTGACTTTAGTGTGTCAGATGACCCTACAAGAGGCAAAGGTAAATCTGTAGCTAGGATGCACGAGAGTTTGTTAGCTTTTCGATGGCCAGACTGATATCTCCTTCCGTGTCCATGAGAGCCCGCAGGTTCAGGTCCTGGTTGGGGAAGCCCATCGCGCGGAGCTGCTCCAACTGGCCCTGGTAAAGGGCCTCTGGAGCTTGCTGTTCCATGTCCTCCTCCTCCTCCCCCTCCTCCTCCTCTTCGTCGTCTGCTTTGGAGGCGTTGCTCCCCAGCTCCAAGCTCTCTTCAATGGAGAGGAAGCTCTCTGCCCCTGATGAGGGGCTCTCTCCCTCCTCGGAGTCTTCCATGCTTTCTAGGTCAACATCTGGGTCCGTCAAAGCTTGCAGGAAATCGGGGACTTCCCTGGTGAGGATCAGCAGGCTCATCTGCAACTGGAGGAGAGCCTGGACCGCTCGGGGATTGGTCAGCAGCAGCGCAGAGGCTGACTTGGCCAGCTTGGACGGGAGCTGCTGTGGCCACTCTTGAGGCGGAGGAGCCTCGTTGCAGTGACTGAGGAACATCTGGGTGGGGCCGTTGGGCTTCGTGAGCGCGTTGGAGATGTTCTGCATGAACTCCAGGTTGTCGGTCAGCTGATGAACCATGTTTTGGATGCTCTCGGTCTTGCCAGGCCCTGGCCGGACTCCGGGCCCCAACGCCAGCAGGACGTAACCTTGCTCAATGCCGTTACCAGCATTGCTGAGGTCACCGTTACATATGTTGTCCCCGCCGCTGCTGTTGGGCTGGGGTGTCCAGGGGTTCGGCAGGGGTTCCCTGTTCTCTGTCCGGGAGAGGGGGCTGACCCCCCCAGGGGAAGGCTTTGCCTCTGAGAGGGGAAACGAGCTGCCCTGGAACTGGGCCTGTACCGCGTTCAGCATGGGGACCTCAATGTCGTTGTACAGCTGTTGCAGGGCACTGTAGCCCCCCGGGGTGCTCTCCAGGTTGCTCAGGGCTCGGTCGTGGTTCCGGATGATCTCGTCCATGACGGCCGGGCTGGTGGCCACATCGATCATTTCCCGCAGGAATTCGGAGTTGTTGAGGATGTGGTGGATCTCCGGGTTCTGTTCGGCCAGCTGCTGCATCTGAGGCACAGACATGATCATCTGCCTGACTTGCTCAGTGTCCCCAAAAAGGTTCTGCATGAAGGGGTGCTGCATCACCTCAATGATGAGCTCCTGCCGAGTGGCATCCTGCTCCTGGGCCTCGCCCACAAAGTCAGAGACGTCCTGGGCGTTCAGGTCCAGCACGTTCATGCCAGTGACCCCAATGAGGAAGCCCAGGAGAAGCGGGTTGCTGTTCAGGGCAGAGGCGTCCAGGTTCAGCGTGACCATCTGCAGCAGGAGGTTCTCCATGGTCTGGGCCACTATTTCGTGGCAGGAGGCCATCAGGTCTTCCGGCTGGCTGCTCCAGTCCGAAAGGTCCAGGCTGCGTTCTGAGGAGATCTCGCGCATCGCTGGCATCGGTGGGAAGGCGGTGGGCGCGGCTGGGCGGTCCCCAGGGCCGCCCGAGGGCTTCTTCTGGGACTTGATGAAGAGGTGGACTTTGGACCCATCGCCAATCTTGCGCTGCACGAGCGTGTCCTGGTCGTTGAGAATCTCACCCGCAAAGATGAGGGACAGCTGCTCGGGGGGCGTCTTGAAGCGGTCAGCGATCAGCTTCTTGAACTCCTGGACGTGGGTGCTGTCGGCCACCTCGAATTGCTCCTTGCGCTTGAGGGTCTTGACCGTGACTCTGACCACCCGGCTCCTGTGGCCCGCAGTGGCCCCGGGGGCCCTTTTGCTCTCGGACATGGCCGCTCAGGGGCTGCGGCGGCCTGGGTGGTGACGAAGGACCTTGGCAACGAGAGCGGAGGCTGAGGGAGAAAGAGGAGGGAAGCGGGCAGTCTCTTTCCAGGGAGGAGGCGGGGCTTGTGAGGAGGTGGGGAGGGGCCAGCGGTCTCCTGCCCCCTTGTGTCTCAGCACCAGCCAAGGCCAGAGCACACATACCAGCGAGATGTTGCCCTTCTCTTCCGTGGCTCACAACCTGGCAGGTTCCTTCATTTTCCTGTCCTCCCCTCTGCTGCTGCCCGGGACACTCTCCCCCCTGGACTTGGCTGGACTGTGATCTCACTGCTGACCTCACAGAGGCCTGTGGCCCAGTTGGTGGGCCACACCTCCAGGGCCTTTGTCCTCCTGAAGTTCGGCCACCCCCCTTACCCCTGCAGGGCTGCCCTGTCCCCACTTCTTGGGCTCTTTGCTGCGCTGGCCTTGCACCACACAACCCGCTGGCAGCACAGAGTCCTGGGCGACTTGTGGGAAGGAGCTGGCCTGCCTCTCCAGTCCGTGATAAGAACCAGCAAAGGAGGTTTCCAGCTCAGGGTTGAAACAAGGGGCCCTTTGGTGCCCCTGAGCTCGACTGTTTCCTTGCAGGGGTTTCATTGACCCGTTTAGGTAACACCTTCAGTGCCAGAAGGGAGTGGGGTTTGCTCTCTGTTTATATACCATACAACCCACTGATGATGTTACCTGGTTGGGTTATGAGATGTCTGCAAGAAAGCTAAGTTCAGAGAGCACCCAGGACCTCTCAATCGGTTATAATTCTGGAAGACTCACCTGGAGGAAAATTTTGCTGCTCTTGAATGTCTTGAGGCAGCGGAACTACCTAAGGCAGGGCCTCCAACCGTGGCCACTAGGAGACTTGTGATGTTGATGTTCCCTAGTTGGGTCATGAAATGTCTGCAAGAAAACCACCAAGCCCAGAGAGAGCCAAGGACCCTGCAGTTCAACCCGGCACTCCAAATATTCTCTTCTAATGACACATTTATCTTATTGATGCTGCCCAGCCTGAACCACCTTCCTTGGCATTTTCACCCTGCTCTTTGGGGCAAAGGAGAACACGGCCACCCCCTCCTCGGCGGGCTCTTTGAAGGCTGCTCATAGGTCTCCCCTCGGCCTGTTCTGCAGGCAAACATCTCCAGACCTTCCGGGTCTCTTCCGGGTGCTTTACCTTCTGAAATTGATGGGGGCGGTGATAACGGCCTGGGGCTCCACCAAAGGGACTGATCCCTGCCAAACTCCCCAAGAGAGCATGGAGAAGATGCTCCCTTCAAGAGTGATTGGCTGATTGATTGATCGATTGATTGATTGATTTGCTCATATTCCATTTGGATGCCAACCAACTTGTGTTGCTCCTGCAGGGAATCACTCGGGGCCTCCTGGGAAATCATCTTTGCAAATCCCTCCCCACGTCTGCTCTGAAGTTCCCCCGTGGCCTTCCTCAAGGGAGGAGCCCATCGGCTTCTCTCCCTCCCCACCCCCCCACCCCCGCTCTGGAGGAGGAGGAGGAGGAGGAGGAGCTCTCTGCCAGGTCCTGGCAATCCAGGCCTGGTGCCCCCCTCCCCTCAGTTCCTGGGCTGAGCCTTCCAGAATACAGGACAGAATTCAGGCCCCAAACCAGAGGTGGGATTCAGCCGGTTCTGACCAGTTCTGGAGAGCCAGTAGAGGAAATGCGGAGTAATTCGGAGAATTGGCCAATCCCACCTCCGACTGGTCCCTCCAACCCCACCTCTTCTCTGCCTCCAATTGAGTCCCAGCTGATCGGCTGGGTCTCCTTTGGTTGCCCTGCCCAGGAGAACGGAGCTGGGAAGCAGGTCAGTGGGGAGGGGAGGGGAGGGGGATCTTGCAGTATCCTTCTCCTGCCACGCCCACCAAACCACACCCACAGAACTGGTGGTAAAAAAAATGGCATCCCACCACTGCCCCAAACCCAGCCTGGGTGTCCCCACCTCATTCTCCTGGGGCAACCAATGCCGAATGCAAACTCTCCCCACCCTCAGCCAGGAACAGGCAAGGAGCGTCCTCTCCTCCAAGTGACCAGCCGTGGCCTATCGGTCATTCAGGCCGGGGCTACTGAGCAGCCCTTTCGGTGCCAGACTCTCCTGGTGGCAATGAGCAGGCGGGAAGGCTGCGAGTCTTTCAGTTTGGGTTTATAATGTGGAGCGGATGCGGAAGAACGCGTGACAGGAAAGCCGCCCCAGCGCAGGGAGATGATCTCCTGGTTTCCTTCTGACTTCCTGGAGCGGCGGCTTCTGGTTCCCAGCAGGCCAGCGCTGTAGGAATGGCACCTCTCCAACTGGCACTCTGGGCCGCCAATCGGACCTTGGAGCTGGCACGGCCCCTTCCTTCTTGGGGGAAGGCGGGGAGGGGCACCCAAGAGAGGAGACACGATGCCCCTACTCCAACGCAGCTGCTTCTCCTTCCGAGGGGGAGCCGATGGCCACGGCTCCCATCGCAGACCTGGGCCCCAAACCCTTCAAGCGCAGCACGAACCAGGGGATCAGCACCGGGGCCTCCTCCATCAGCGCCTGCAGGCCCTGCTCCATCTGCACCCAGGCCTGGATGGCCTTGGGGCTGGACATGGCAGCCACCATTTCCGGCCGCTGCATCTGCTGGTAGAAGTTTTGCAGCTGCTGCTGGACGTGGTCCTGCTGACTGGCCTGCGACCCTCCGGAGGCGAGCAGCGCGTTCTGCATGAGGGAGAGCATCATGCGCTGGGTGTAGGTTTTGCAGAGGTTCACAATCAGGGCCTGGATGCCCCCCACGTTGCACGGTCCTGCCCCGGGGTTGGGCCCAAGGCTGGGCAGGGGAGGCCCGGGAAGGCGGCCGGAGAGGGCCCCTTCCTCATTGCTGGAGTTGTTGGTGCAAAACCTCCCATAGCTGTTGGAGGCGGGGAAAGAGTTGGCGCATGGGGAGCCTCCCCCCTCGCCCCCCCTGGCCGTGTGTTCTGGATAAGGAGGGTTCCTGGCCAGGGTGCCAAGGGGGTCCTGGCCTGCACTTGGCTCCTGAGCCTCGCTGCTGAGTTGCCTCAAGGGGTTGTCCCCGCCAGGAGTGTTGCTCTGGACGCCGATCAGGAGTGGCTCCGGATTCTTCAGCTGCTGCTCCACCTCAGGGTTCTTTGCGAGGTCCATAATTTCCCTCATCTTGTCCAAGATCACCCGCATGATGCCCATGTGGTTCAGGATGTGGCAGATGGCAGGGAACTGCTGGGCCAGCTGCTGGATCTCTGGGTTGGCCAAGATCAGCTGCCGCACCTTCTGAACAACCATCTCTGAGGACGGCATCGGGTGCCACTCCGTGCCGGAGGGATTTCTCTCCAGAGAGCTGGGGCTCATGGCGGGCAGGGCCAGGCTGGTGCCCGTTGGTGCAGAGACTTCCGGCTCTCTCTCCAGGGACCGGATGACCAGGTGGACAGTCATCCCATCACCGATCCCGCACTGCCGGAGGGTGTGCTGGTCCTTCAAGAGCCTCCCGAAGAAGACCAGCACCAGCTGGCGTGCCTCGCACTGGAAGTGCTTCGAGAGCTCCTCCTTGAACTGGCGGATGGGGGTTTCCTGGGGCAGCACAAACTGGGCACTGGCCTTGGGAGACTTCGCAGTGACGCAGATGAAGTTGGGGTTGGCGGCCAGGCCGGGGCAGCCACGGGGGGCGCCCTCTTGGTGCAGGTCCAGGGCCTCCATGGCGCATGGGGGAGGCAGATCAGAAAGGGCCCGGGGTCTCTGGCCTGGCTGGACCAAAGGAATCGGCTGGTGTCAAGTCTCCAAGAGGGAGGGGCTGTTGGGAGGCGAAAGGGCACCCTGGAAGCAAAGCATGGGTGGCTGTCGGAGCCCCCTCCCAGGCCTCTGTTTCTCCCCCCTCCTCTTACCTTCCTTCCTTCTTGCTGAGCCGAGGAGCTGCTCCCTCCATTACCCAGCCGGGGGGGGGGGTCACTGTGACATCACCAGGTGTCACCCATGGCCAAGCTGGTCCAAAGGGCCCCCAGGAAGAGCCGGTCTGGGGGTCTGAGCTGACTTGCAGGGCCAAACCCTCCGGCCCTCCAGCAGGGCGCCTCACCTTCTTCTGCTCTGCAAGGACCCTCTTCGCGGGCGCAGGAAACGAGGGAACCTTTTCCTCTCTCCAGAAGCTAGAATAGAATTTTCACCACGGCTGGAAGTGATGGAAACTGGTTGCCCAGGTCTGCCATCCCATAATAGGCTGAGTGACAGACTTCTCAGAGGGAGGAGCCTCAGAAAGATGCTTAGAGTGCAGCATTGCAGGCTGACTCTGCCTGTGCACAGCCTGGAGTTCGATCCTGACAGGGAGGGACAACTTTGAACTCGGCCTTCCGCCCTTCTGAGGTCAGGAGGAGGAGGAGGAGGAGGAGGAGGAGGAGGAGGAAGAGGAGGAGGAGGAGGAGGAGGAGGAGGAGGAGGAGGAGG